AAATCCCTCACCGTGACGGTGATCGCCACCTCCCAGGGGTTTCTCTGCCGATCTTCGGCCGCGCTGAACTCCAGACTGACCCCGCACAGGTCCAGGGTGGAGCTCTCATCTGGAAATTTGGAGATTTTTGGGGAATTTTGGGAATTTGGGAATTTTTTTGGAATTTTCTGGGAATTTTTGGGCATTTTTCGAGCATTTTTTAGTGATTTTTAGGCATTTTTTGGGGGATTTTAGAGGATTTTTTGACCCCGCACAGGTCCAGAGTGGAGCTGTCGTCTGGAAATTTGGGGATTTTTGGGGAATTTTGGGAATTTGGGAGTTTTTTTGTTTTTTGGGGGATTTTGAGGCGGTTTTGGTGGTTTTGGGGTGGGGTTTTTTTTGTTTTTGGGGCGATTTTGGGGTTTTTTTGTGGCAGTTTTGGGGTTTTTTGGAGTCGTTTTTTCCGGGTTTTTTGGGGGCGATTTTTTTCCGTGTTTTTTTTTAATTTTGGGGTAATTTTGGGTATTTTTGGGTACCGATCATGCGGTGAAAAGTCTCCTGCAGCCGATCCATCCCCTCCAGCACAAACACGTGCTCCTCGTGGGGTTTGTGCGACGCCAACGCGTTCAAAGTCTCGGTGTGGACGTTGTCCCCCAACCCAAAAACGTAAACATCTGCGGGAAAAAATGGGGTTAAAATACCCCAAAATACCCCGAAAATATCCCAAAATGTCCTAAAAAACAGAAAACACAAAAAACCCGAAAAAAAACCAAAAAAAGAATACCCCAAAACCGCCCCAAAATCACCCAAAATCCCCCTAAAAATCCCCACAAAATCATAGAAAATCCCAATTTATCCAAAAAAAATCCCCAAATTCCCCCCAGGACCCTCAAACCCCCCAAATCCACCCCAAAACTCCCTTGAAAGTCGCAAAAAATCCTCAAAAAAATCCGAAATTTTTCCCAAAATTCCCATGTTTGTACCCAGGACCCCTCAAACTCCCCCCAAATCCCCCCAAATCCCCTGAAAATTGGCAAAAATCAAAGAAAATCATCAAAAATCCCCCTAAAAATCCCTTTTTTTTCCCCTAAAAGTCCCAAATTCTCCCAGAAAATCCCAAAATTCCCAAATCTGACCCAGGAATTCCTCGCGGGGGTCCAGGGGGTCTCTCCCGATGCTCAGAAATTCCCGAATTTGCAGCAGCGGCACCGTCGGGGACCCCCCCATGTTGGCCCGGCCTGGATTTGGGGGAAATTCGGGAAAAATTGGGGAATTTTTGAGAAAATTTTATGGAATTTTGGGGGAAATTTGGGGATTTTTTGGTTTTTTTGGGAATTTTCAGGGGAGTTTTGAGGGGAGTTTTGGGGTTTTGTGAGATTTTGGGGTGTTTTTTTCATATTTTTGGGTGGGGTTTTTTTGGTTTTTTAGGTATTTTAGGATTTTTTTGGGATCTCACCATCGGTCATGATGACGATCACGTGCCGGGTGCGTTTTGGGGCCATTTTGGGGTATTTT